TGATTCACTTAACAACCGGGTTACTAACTTACCAAGTACAGTGATTCACTTAACAACGATGGCAAGCAAGGTTGAAAAATGGGGCAAAACTCACTTAACAAATGTCTCGCTTAACAACAGAAACGTTGGGCTCAATTGTGGTCATAAGTCGAGGACTTCCTGGGCTTTGGACACATGCAAAGACGTAGCTCTCTTGGAGAAGGCTCTAATGCTGAGAAAGGTGGAAGGAAAAAGAGGAAACTGACTAGCAGCAAAATGGATAGATTCATATCTGCAATGGTTGCACCATTGGAAGAACTGAAAGACCAAATTATGGATACATCATCCTGGAGAAATTTTGTGTAGACAGTTACAGTCAATGTCAATTTGATGACATGTAACCATTAAATTACTGAATAAGAAAGACATTAAATTTCTGGAAAACTGAGATTTTCTGCTAAGACTGATACTGTACACCAGTCTGATCTATTCTTCCTTCACTTAGAGTAGAGTCTTAAATGGATTAGACCTGGTGTAGTGGTTAGAGTGCAGTATTGTAGGCTACTTCTGCTGGCTGCCTGCAATTTGGCAGTTCAAATCTCACCAGGCTCAAGGTTGACTCAGCCTTCCCTCCTTCCGAGGTGGGTAAAACGAGGAGCCAGATTGTTGAGGGCAATATGCGGACTCTGTAAACCGCTTAGAGAGGGCTGTAAAGTAACGTGAAGGGGTATATAAGTTCTATTGCTATTGCTATTCTCAGGCTATGCCAATTTCTGCTGCAAAAAGATGATTGGGATATCTCCGTCTCTATTTGCATATCTACAAAAGCCTTGCATTTCCTTAGAAAATTAAATTCGTATGCATTTGACTTTTAAGGCCAAACTTCAGCTACAGGGTAGAATGAGTGAAAATGCCATTTAAAGGTAGGCAAGGAGCCATTTTCACCACCTAGAGCTTGGAGCAAAAAGAAAAGGTAGAAAAAAGGCAGGTCACTGTGAATGAATGCCTGAAGCAATTATCTCTGCTTCTCCCTACTCCGTCTGTATGACACAAAGGCTTGTAATGCAGCAATCTCACTTAAGCAAAACCAGTTTGTCTTAATGTCTTTATACAAGACCTCTCATGATATTGTTAGCTGCCTTCAATGAAGTAACTTCCACACCTTACTGAAACTAAAACCGAGTTTCATTTATCTCACACAGTGTGTGCTGGCACTTCATTGAACTCTGACAATTATTTGGATCTTTTCTCTTTGTAATGCTGTTATTGCCCTTGAAATTCATATTTGTAACCAAGGAAGAATTAATTGTGGCTCCTAAAGAAGTCATTCATATATATATATTTTAAGTGAAAGAAAGTTGATGAATTTGAAGTTAGTTATTTATAGAGCTTTGGAATAATAAGCTTGACTATCCTGAATATCAGCAGTGAAGTTGCTTTAAAAAAAATGAAAGGAGTTTTTTCTCGATCTTAAAAGAAGTTCATATTTTGTTTTGTTTATACTTGACAATTAAAGGAAGAACTATTTGCAGTTGCCATGGTATTAGAAATATAACATAGAACATTAACCTATAACCGTGATGGTGAACCTATGGCACGCGTGCCGGAAGTGACACGCAGAGCCATCTCTCCAGACACGTGAGCCGCTGCCCGTTGCTCTTCCAGGTTCCGGCGCGCTAGCCAGCTGGTCTTCACGCGCACAGGACTGCCAGAAACCGGAAGAGCAGCCGCCCCATGCACACCAGCCATCAGGTCTTCCTGGTTTTGGCGCGCATGGGCGTACAAAGATTAGCTGGCCAGTGTGCATGCACGCACTGGAAACCTAAAGATTATCTTCCCGGCACACACATGCACACCGGGCAGCTGTTCTTCTGGTTTCTGGCACATGCACACAGGTGCACTCCCCTTTCAGCACTCGTTGCCAAAAATGTTCGCCATCACTGACCTATAGGTTTGTTTTCTACTACCATATTTGGGGCTGAAATCCACAAGTTTGTCAACCTTTTGCTGCTTGTCCAGGAGATAAATAATACTCTCGGCTATCTGCCCCTAATTGGAATGTATTACCATATTAAGAACTAAAGAGTCCTCCTGCACATTTTTCGACTTATTTTCCTTTTATATGTTTTTTGCTAAAGTTTGACTTAGGACGAGTGGGGGGTTTATTTTCCAACAGAAGGATAAGGAATTCTTTTTGATGAATTGTTTTGTAACTACTTTATCATATAAATTTTGCCTTTTAAAAAGATGTTTAATTTTTATACATATTGTCATTATTTATTAATGAGAATCCTCATTTATAATTTACGCTGCTCTTGAGTTTCCTTTCCCCAGTGGATGAAACGTACACGATATGATATCTCCACCACTATTCAAGATATTTAACAGAAGAACCGAGTCTCTCCATATCCAGTTATGGATTTGGTTAGTAGGAAGAAAGAGAATATTTTCTCCTTTTACCGTAGTGATACAAATATATTAAATGAGAAATAGATTCTTTTCTATGCTTACTGTATAGAATTGTCTTGGCAGGAAGAGAAGTCAACCCACTTCACATCCTACTTATTCCCTAATGTAAAATCTCTGAAAATATGGCTTCACCCTATAAAATTGAAAGAAAAGCATAATCTATGTATGTAGGAAAGGGGACAAAGGGATTTTAAAACACTGTTTCTGGGTTTCAAGTGTTAAGAATTGGCACAACCTCTTAGCTTCACAAAAGTTGTCACTCGAAATGTTGCCACCAAATTGCAATGTTTAATGTAATGGAGGTAGCAATTATTAAATACATGAGAAATAATATTAACATAATTCATGTATATAATTACAGATATGAGATTACTGTAATATAATCCAAATTTAATTGGGTTTAAATTTATTCTGTCCCCACTTACTCCTTTGTTCTGGAACTGTCAATTTTAGGGTGCATGATCCCTGGCCCCTCTACCCCTTCCCACAAAAAATGAGCATTCTGATGTTTAGCTACAGATGGTACAGAAAAGAGCAATTAAAATAATGCATAATATTAATAAAGATTAAAATTCTGAAGGAAGGCTAAATAATTGCAGATTGCAAGAACTCTCGAAAGCCTTTTTATTTTGTCACATTTGTATAGGCTGCCCATCTTACATAGTGACTCACACAGTGACAATTAATTCAGGTCCCGGCCCAGTGCAAGTAATCAAGACTTAAAACTTCCACCCTTTGCTAATTGGGATTTTTTTTTAAAGGAACAAAAACAACAACTTGTCTTGCAAAATTTGAATGTAGCAATGAGAGAAAGCTTTCCCATATTTCTAGCACACACCAAATGAAATGAGTGACAAATTCAGGGTGCAGAAGAACAAACATATAGTACAGAGAGTCCTCGACTTACAACGGTTCATTTACTGAGTGTTCAAAGTTACAACAGTACTGAAAAAAGTGACTTATGGCCATTTTTCACACTTACAACCATTGCAGCATCCACATGATCAAAATCTGGACCCTTGGCAACTCATATCTATGACAGTTGCAGTGTCCTGGGGTCATGTGATCACCCTTTCCAACCTTCTTACAAGCAAAGTCACGGGGAAAGTCAGTTTCACTTAACAACCATATTACTAATGTAACAACTGCAGTGATTCACTTAACAACTGTGGCAAGAAAGGTCGTTAAATGGGATAAAATCCACTTAACACATGTTTCACTTAGCAACAGAAAGTTTGGGCTCAATTGCGGTCACAACTTGAGGACTATCTGTACTGCAGTTATTATTGAAAGAGGAATTTATGGAGTTCATTGCCAGCAAATATAGAGGCAGGCTTTTTCAGAGGCAAAATAAACATTACAGAAGAGGGGAAGGGCTGGCAACAGGATTTAGCCATAATGCCCGAAAGGAACTGTTAACTGTATACTCAAAGGCTTTACAGGTTTGAATACCAATTGAGAAATTGCTTATAAGAAGTCACCAGCAAGGGATTCATTCAGTTTATTAGTGTAATATCCATAAAGACTGGCAATGGTGTTCAAGAAGAGCAAGTGTTTGCTTGTTTTTTTCCTCCAGCTCTGGAGAACCAGATATTGCTATAAAAAGTTAACTTAAAAATCCCCGTTGGCATTGACAGATTTGGATATATATAGTATAATGTCTCTGAATATTTGCATGAATATATCTTATTAGCGCACAGGTAGCAGTAACATTTAGCAATCAGATTGTGTCACTGAACTCCTGCCAGCATTTTGTTCCTGTTTGAAGTTCTTCCAAACTAGTTGCGTTCTTCTGTAAACATCGAGCCAGTGGTTCTTTTTTTAAACAGTGCACAGCCAATTCTGTGACTCTTTCAATTTGCAGGAGATTGAGCTCCCTCAACCTTTTCCCTTGAGCTACAACTGATATGTCTATTGCAATCCACGCTCATATTCAATGGACATCAAATGGCTAACAACTGAAAGCAATGTCTCTGGAGTTAGTCAGTGGGCTAACCATGGTAAAGCTTTTATGGTAGAAAAGCTATGGATGCAACTGCCCGTAAATTGACTTAAGAGAGTGAACTATTGATTAGGAACAAGCCTGAGTAGGAAGCTACCTAAGGGGATCCAACTCTCTCAGAAAGCTAGGAAATTCTACTCCTGGAGAAAGAAGACAGCTTCCTGAGGAGAATTATTCACAGAGCTACTGTGGTTTTCTACTGAAATCAGCAGCTGCAATCTTTTATATTCAGCAGGTGTCCCTTCCAAAATAGACCCGAAACAGAGAATGTTGTCTTGCTTGACCTCCTTAATAATGGCTCACTTACTTTGAGTAGCCAGGTGAGCACTGAGTCACGATAAGGAACAAATTTGTTCTTATTTTTTCCAGCAGCTTGATCTGCCAGGGCTGAAATGACCAACCCAAGAGTTGTGAGAGACCTGCATTGGGGAGAAAAAGATTCTTTTTAATTTTATGGCAATCAGAATCAGATATACTCTTAGGAATAGCTGGTCCCTCTATTAATATGCATTTTGCTTTGAGGTGTAAAATTGCCTAAACATTTACTAACATATAAACAGAACCCAGAAAAAATAGTTCTTAATTTTTCTCTTGTTTCTAATCTAATAATTTCTGAGGTCTCAGAGAAGATGTTGAGGCTCTAGAAAGAGTGCATAGAAGAGCAACAAAGATGATCAGGGGACTGGAGGCTAAAACATATGAAGAATGGTTGCAGAAACTGTGTTTGTCTAGTTTAATGAAAAGAAGGACTAGGGTAGACATGATAGCAGTGTTCCTGTATCCCAGGGCTGCCACAAAGAAGAGGGAGTCAAGCTATTCTCCAAAGCACCTGAGGGTAGGACAAGAAACTAATGAAGGAGATAAGCAATTTAGAACTAAGGAGAAATTTCCTGACAGAACAATTAATCAGTGGAACAACTTGTCTCCAGAAGTTGTGAATGTTCCTACACTGCATGTTTTTAAGAAAATGTTGGTCTGAAGTGGTGTAGGGTTTTCTGCCTAAGCAGAGGGTTGGACTAGAAGACCTCCAAGGTCTCTTCCAACTCTGCTATTCTATTTTATGCTAAAGAGAAGAAGGAAGTCCTGTTTCTTTTAAAGAAAAGTTGGAGGGAAAAGTCAAAGGAGAACTCTTCTTTCTTTCCTCTTGTTGTCATTCTGAATAAAGAACATTAGGACATTTTTACTTTTACCTTTACCTTCACCCTCCCTTTAAAAACATGTAATTCCTTAAAAAGGTAAACTTTACTTGTTGATGTTGCTTCCTTCCTTCAACCTATCGCCTGCAGCTCCTGTCTTGGTTGCTCTTTCACTGCCTGCTAGATCAACCAGGCTCAACTTGCCTACTTTCTCACCGGAGGTCTGTGGAAAGAAAATAGCATTAGCCCAATGACATATCGCTTATTCAGCACCCCAAAATACCTTTCATAGTTTTTGTCAGTTTGAGGGAAAAGAAAGGAAGAAGGGAAAATGACAACCAGGGAAAAGATCTTGATGCTAAAGAGGTAGTTATGTACGGACTGTGTAATGCTATCATAAATGATTTATTGTATAGCAAATATGCCTATTTAAAAGAGTTTACAGAGAAGTCCCTCATGCCTTCTACATAAGTTGCAGCATCTTCCCTAATCACCAGGCCAGAGTTAACATCTAGCACAAATGAAAGTGACCAAAGCTGATCTAGATTTTACTGGGGGGTGGGAGGGGTGTATAAGAGAGATTAAAAGCAAAGGTAACAAAATAATAAAGCTTATTTTATTTCAGAATGAGGACTAGAGGACTGAATATTTTAAGTCAAACTTGCATGTTGGTGAGTTTAATTTTCCAAGCATCAAAAAAATTAAGAGAAAAGGCAAGGATTTCACTAGGATGTATCCAGACAATAATGTCTGCATGACTTTTGCTTATACCAGGGGTCCCCAATCTCTGGGCTGTGGCCTTTAGTTATTTAGAACAGCGCTGTGGAAGTGGTGGGTGAGCACACATGCGCACATATCGACTTGCATGAGCAACAGACGAGCGTGTGCACTAGCAGCACGTCAGTGGTGTGCAAATGCTCCATTTGGGTGGAACCATTCCCTTTCCCCCTCCCCACCAGTCTACATAGCTGGAATGTTTGGGAACCCTAGCCTATATGGAATCATTCCATTACTCAGGGATACAAGCCAATACAATGAGAGCAGAAGGCCTCTATACACCCACAGTTTCACAAGGGATTTTCAGACTGCATAGAAATTGGTTTATGTAATTCATGCATTGTATTTTAGCCTGCTTAGACAAAGATAAAAGAAGTTTGAAAAATATAAGAAATTCCTCAAATTCAGTGCAGGTGTTCCCAAAATATGTGGAGAAGTATGGTACCACCTACCCTCCCCCCCCAAATGTGCTCTTCCTTTAATCGGATTTTTGGATGTAAGGGAATATAGGAGAGTGCTTTTGAAAATGGAAATGACAGTCCTTAGTAGTGTGGCTAAAATGAGGGATATACAGGGCGGGGCATAACCTTTTCCTAGGGGGTCACAGCAAGATCGACAGCAGTTTACAACTTCCGCGACACCTCATTTTAAAGCCCATAAAAAACTGAATTGAATGAGCTATTAAATAGTCAGTATGACCACCATTAGCCCTTCGAAC